AAGACGAAACATTGGCGTCCCTTGGATGTCCTCCTGCCAAACATAAGAGACCATTGCCCTTACTTCAGGGTTATCAGCCCAACGGGCATCAAACCGGAACAGGGGCCGAGTATGACGAACATATGGCTTATCAAAGAGGAGGATCGCCCGATGATCCGATCCCTGATCCGTAAAATGTTTAACCAGGGTATCCGGGAAGCGATCAAGCCATGATTGGGAGCACAGAGCCCTGTCCAGTCTCTCCCGAATACAAGCGCCCCCATCCGCTTGTTCGTCCACGTAAAAAGATCCCCTTGGTAGCCAGGGTCTATAAGCCCCAGGTTTTGAACAAAATTATGGAGCCCGAGAGCCTGCGCAGCATTCCATTGGTTACCACCATCCTTTTCGCCCTCATGGAGAGTCGTATTAAAATCACCCAATATAACATAGGGAAGCTGGATATCAGTGCATACAGCCTGGAGCTGCTCCAACTGGGCAGCACGGAAGGCCACATTACAGCTAAAATAAACAAAGATCGCGACGTACGAGAAATCCATTTCATTAACTTGAACACAAACACAGAAATTCGAATGAAAAAACACCGAAGCCGAAACTTCAGGAGACCAGGCTACAACTAACCCTCCAGAAGCATCAATAGCATCAACAAAAAAAACAACAAGAAGATTCAAATCCTAGCCCGCGCAAACGGCGGGAAACTACTCTCCGTCTCGACCGTGTTTCCGAAAAAAACACAAGATCCGATTTATTGGAACGAACTAGACCGACAGCAGTTTGGAATGTGAGGGATGGCCCAATTCCTCTCACATTCCAGGCTAGTAGTTTCATTTAACCAATGGGGGCCAATCAAGGCTGGCTACCTCCACCTGAACAGAGACTTCATCAGCTTCCACAAATTGTTTCTTCGGACTAGGGGCACCATCCATATCCCCTTCGACAAGCTCCAACGAACGCTTACAAGAATCAAAGGCCGGATGCGGCATGTTAGAGCCATATTCATCCAGACCCGACCCAGTGGCAGTCACCTCCTCTACTTGCCACACCTCCGGATCACCAGCAATAGGCAACTTCTCAATAGCATTACTTCCTTTTCTATCCTCAAGGACCAAGGATAGGCCAGCTTCAAAGGCTGCCACAACTTTGCTGACACGGCTTGAGGGAATCCGGGTTGACAGCTTTTCGGTCTTCTGAGGTGCACGTTTCTTGATTTCAAAGCATAGCACCTCTTCCTCGGAGTCCGAGTCTTCTACAACGTGTCCCTCTTTGTGGATGTCACCACTTCCCTCTTTCCTGCCATCTGACAAGACAGTTGGTGATCTCCTGCCCGGGGAGGAGCTGTCCTCCTGGGCACCCTTACTGCCGATGCCATGAGTTTTCATTTTATAAGCTCTCGCAACCAGGGGAGGGCCTCCACGTATAAGCCTACCTTTACGCTTAACAGAAGTCAGCAAAGGAGGTTTTTGTGCATTGCGCAGCTGATTTGGCAGACTACTAGAAGCCCCAGCCTTTGTCTTCATTTGTGAGTCAGCTTCATCCCCCATAATTGGACGATTACCCCCATCATTGCCAGACCTGCCCTCCTGGACTTGGTGCAGAGTGCCTTCCTTTTCCCTGCTCGACACAGGGGATGCAGCATGGACCGAATTGATCTCATCATCATCCGAGTCGTCTTCCAGGATCAGGCGACGTCGCCTCGTTTGCTCCAGCATAGTCTGCATCTCCGAGGGTACTTCAGGGATAGCCTGGGCAGTGGAGTGGGTCGATCCACCTTCCCGACGATGGGCCTTCATCGGCCTGCTTCTGCTGCCGGGTTCAAGTGGGCGAGCATGACCTCCCGCTGGGCTTCACTGCTGCACTTTACGAGGCCCACCATTAAAGCGGGGACAGGTGATTTGCAGGATGGAAACCCCCTTGGACTAGGGAGTGTGGTCCCGGGCTTAGATATAGGCTCAGGCAAGGTGGGCTTCGGGTTTTCCACCTCACGATTGTGGGCCTGCCCAGTCGCCCGAAATGGGCCTCGATTTTTTCTTTCCGTCTCACCCAACTGGATGACAGGCCCACGGCCATTGTTTGGATTTCCAGCTCCGTCCACTTGCTGTCGGACATGCCTGTTGATCCAGACTGTACCACGATTTCCTTTGAAGCTTGTATTCCCCTCCATATCATCGTAAATTTGCGCCCAAGATTTCTCGTAGACATGTGGGGACCGAATTTCTCCTTACCAATTGGAGGATCGAAAGACAGTCACGACGTGAATGCCCCAAACGACCACAGTGATAGCGAAATGTGGGGAGAAATTCATATTTCAATCGAACCCAGAAGCCATCAAGGTCTTTACTAACTGTCATGAGTTGAGACCTCAAAGGCTTCGAGAAATCAACCAGAGCCCGAACTTTCATGAAGCTTTCCCCCGTGTCCTTGCAGGCAAAAACCCCAGTTTCTAAGACTTGGCCAATAGTTGGAGCCACAATTTTCTGGCCGAATTGTTTAGTACAACAATCTTCTATCACATCCCAAAGCTGAATGCGGAAGGGGGCGATAGCAAGATCGTCAAAGATTTGCTTACTAATCATTGGCGTCCAAGAGCGAAGATTTATCAGTTTATCCTTGATCACCCAGGGGGTCCGTTTCAAGATCCAAATTTTGGCTTCTTCACTTGGTAAAATGATTTCCAGCAGCCCATGTTTGGTACGGCTGACCCGTAGTTGACCCCTAATTTGCCAGGCCTCAAGCATCTCCTCCCTGATCTCCATGATTGTGAGCTGGCTCTCCGTAAACATACGTCCCAGCAGCGTCCGGGATGCACGGAATTTCGATGACTGAACTTCCTCCAGGGAGAACTCGACAACCTGATCGTTAGCTGCGCGAGCCATTGTTAACCCCTGTAAAAGAGAGGGAGGATCAAACAACGGAGGGCTCAAAGCCAAACTTGTGGTCTCCTGAACATATCTCAGCCACGACACATAGCAGGAAGAGGGGAAAATACTAGACGGCGGAGAGGGGTTAAGAGAGTTACTAGCACAGGGGAATGAACTTAGAGATTTATTCATTATACCTGTGAGAGTCTCGGTGGCAGTTATGGATTGCAGCGGCACCTCTCGTCTTTCGTTGTCTCTGAATGTTTCAGCTAAGAGACACCAGGGATGAGGAACAGAGTTGTACGAGACAGTAGGAGAATGAGCTCCTTTTAAGGGCCGCCCAATTTGCCATTCAGATCCCTCTCTTAGAAGTCTAAACAGACTAGGAATCCCAAAGTCAGTTATGATCGGATTCTCTAATTTTTGAATAGTTTTTGATTTTTTTTTTTTTGTTTTCTATACGAGATAATGCCGAGCAGCATCCCGCCCCCCAATACCGGGGATTCATGGCCGAATCTTTGTCCCACCGTTACGATTTGATTAAATCGGGTTTTTGAAGCCAAGTCGGCCGGAGTCAGTTTCGATCGGAAAACGTTGCCGGAGCAACAGTCTGGGTTCACTGTACTTATACTCAGCCCATCTTTTGACGGCGGTACAGGCCCATCTTCCCCGAAGGGTTGATCGCAGTTAGATCCGCGAATTGTTTGTTTTAGTCCCATTACGGGTTCAGGTTGTTGTTCGTCCTTCAAAGGGATCAAACCAGAAGACGAGAAAACCCCATCCCGAACAGACGAAGGGGGAAGCCAAAAACGCCACCCCTTCAGTGCCACTCTTCTGCACCGTTTCACTGAAACAACTTCGGAGAGCTCTATTTCGTCACTCAGAGCTGTAAATCTCCTTTTGTTTTTGCCCGAACTTAAGAGTATCCGTCTATGGATCTTGAATCGGTTTTTTGTGCACTTTGGCCTCACCGTCGAGGGCCCCTGCATAGCCGACCGACATTTCCGGTTGAGTCCGTACAATCTCCCACCGGCCGGCCTTTCCTTCATCATGCAGAAAAGCGTCTAGTTGCGTAAGCTAGCCGAGAGGAAGGCGATCAGTGCCGCCCAGAGGCAACGGCTAAACCAGGCACACAGAATGAGGAGAGAGGAGAGAGCAGCTCTCATCAGTTTTTTTTTTGGATTTTCAGGAAGAAGTTGTAATTATAAGGGACTTGGTGGCGGAAATGCAAATTAGTCCGTGTAAATAAAAAATTTGTTGTTTGCCAAAGTTCAAAGCAAGTCCTTTAAGATATGAATTGTTGCACTTTAGTCATGTATCGTGTGTGTTAAGTCATTTGAGAGCTTTCAACTCAAGTATAGAGAGTAAATTTAGCTTCTTAGGGGTCGTATGGAAGTTGCGAATGTTAAATAGTTGTATTGTAATTAATCACCATAATATAAATGCATGTATTGATACAATGGATGCATTTTAACAACACATTGTTTGATTGTTGAGATTCTACTTTATGAATTGATTTACATGAAGTTACTTTTATGGAAAATGTCACATTTACCCTCAACTTTTAGAATAAGAAAACAAATTATAGGAATAATAATGGAAAGAAAAAGTTGACACAAATCTAAAACCAACAATCTCAACTTTTAGTTGAAATTGTATAATGCATCATTTTTTGTGATTGTTGTTGGGCCTACTGAAAACAATGCATGCATTGTTTTACATTTTGACACTTCCAAATATTGTATTGTGGACAATACATGTATTCAACAAACACAACTCTAACAATACAACTTCCAAACCACCTTTAATTAATTATGGGCGCTGAAAACCAGAGATATGGGATTATGACTATTGATGAAGACCGATATTTGCGGCCAACAAGTATTTTATCGTCCCTTTTCATTTCAATAGATAAGATTTTCCAGATTGCCCTACGATTTGAATGTACAAAGCCCCTCTACTCTTTATGGTATTAACCCAATCAAAAAACGACTCCCTTTCCTTCTCCCTGCTGTACTTTACCCAATTAGAAAAACGATCCCCATAAATTCGGATCTCCAATTATACGCATCCACAATCCCCCTGCCTCCACCATTCTTTCCATCCCCATCTTCTTCCTCCTTCTCCAAAAAAAACACCACAGCCATGGCGGCCACCACCGACAAATCAAACGAACCGGTGCACGTGCTCGTCTTCCCTTACCCAGCACAAGGCCACTTAATCCCTCTCCTCGACTTCACCCACCACCTCGCCGTCCGCAGCGCCGGCCGTCTCAAGATCACCATCCTCGTCACCCCCAAAAACCTCCCGCTCCTCCAGCCGCTCCTCTCCCGCCACCCTCCCACCGTCATCCAATCCCTCACCCTCCCTTTCCCTGCCCACCCTTCCATCCCTCCCGGCGTCGAGAACACCAAGGACTTCCCGCCGCCCAGCTCCGGCGCCCAGCTCCTCATGATGGCCGCCCTCGGCGACCTCCGCTCCCCTCTCCTCACCTGGTTCCGCTCCACCCCTAACCCTCCCTCCGCCATCATCTCCGACATGTTCCTCGGCTGGACCCACCGCCTCGCCGCCGACCTCGGCATCCCTCGAGTCGTCTTCTCCCCTTCCGCCGCCGTCGCCTTGTCCGTCATCTACTCCCTCTGGCGATACATGCCCAGCCTCCCGGAAAACCCCGATTCTCCCTTCACCTTCACCAACCTCCCCAATTCCCCCACTTGGCCCTCCTCCCAGCTCTCCCCGATGTACCGCTCTTACGTCGCCGGCGACTCTGTTTCCGAATTCGTCAGGGACGGGTTTCTCGCCGATATGGAAAGCTGGGGAGCTGTTTTCAATTCGTTCCACGGATTGGAATCCAGGTATTTGGACTATTTGAGGAAGGAATTGGGGCACGATCGGGTGTGGGCGGTCGGACCTATACTCCCTCCTCCCGATGACGGTAATCGGGGGAAGGATCGAGGTGGGGCCAGCTCTGTCTCGGTTGCCGACCTCGAGGCGTGGCTGGACACGTGTCCCGATGACGGAGTCGTGTACGTCTGCTTCGGGAGCGAGGCCGTGCTGACGGAAGATCAGACGGCGGCTCTGGCTTTGGGATTGGAGAGGAGTGGGGTCCGCTTCGTGTGGAGCGTGAAGGGCGGGGGAGGGGGACACGTGGCGAGGGAGTTCGAGGATCGGGTGGCGGGAAAGGGCGTGGTGATTCGGGGGTGGGCCCCGCAGGTGACGATACTGGGTCACCGGGCCGTTGGCGCGTTCCTGACTCACTGCGGGTGGAACTCGGTGCTGGAAGGGAGCGTGGCCGGGGTGCCGATGCTGACGTGGCCGATGGGAGCGGACCAGTTCGTCGACGCGACGCTGCTGGTGGAGGAGGTGAAGATCGGGGTGAGGGTGTGCGAAGGGAAGAGCTCGGTGCCCGACCCGGACGAGCTGGCGCGGCAGCTGGCGGAGCTGATGGCGGAGGAGGGCCGGGAGGAGAGGAAGCGGGCAAAGGAGCTGAGCCGGGCGGCGGTGGAGGCCGTTGGAGATGGCGGGAGTTCGGCCGAGGATTTGGATTCGCTGGTCAAAGAATTGGTCAAGCTGACTTCACCATCAGACGTACAAGTTAGTTAAATTAACCGTCCCACGTGCGTTGTAACGTGGGAAGTTGTAGTTCTTGAACTGCAAATTTGGCGCCTGTTTCTTGTTAGGCTGATGTCGACTTTTGGGCCTTCATTGGCATTCCGAATTTAGTGTTGGATAATAACAATTCATATGCTCTGGTGAATTGCTGTCCGAGGTCGTCTGCTCCAGTGAAAGCATTTAGTTCCATCCCAAATCTCACCTTGATTACATTAGCATATCCTGCATATGAAAATGAAGCAACAACTTGTGCAGCAAAGTAAGGAACTTCAACCCAAAAAAAAAAGCACAAGTTCCCGCGGGTTTTGTGAAAAGTATAATCTGTTTGCTTTTCCAGCTTCGAGCATATCTTAGTTTCTGAAACCACACAGTGAAAACCAACCTGCAAATCTATCGTCTCCGCACCTGCTGCTGCTGCAACAGTGATCTTCGTAACCAACTTTGCCGCGTTGACCCTGAAAGCATTTAGTACTGAAATCCCTGAGAATTCATGACTGGCAAGCTTCCTCTGGTTGCACCACTTATCACGATCCGTTCCACAAATTTCATCCCAAATAGATCGCTCATAATTCCGAGATTATTCTCCCCTTAATGAAATAGGCAACAAAGAAAGCGTAAACATAAACACGGGACTTCAATCAGCAGAAGGAAGAAGCAAAGCAGAAGAATCTGAAGCCAGAGAGACTAATCAGAACAAAGTAGCCATACCTTTCCATATTGGGGGAAGTTGATTTCAATGTGTATCAACAGTACCAGGATCCACTGTATAAATTTCCGTGGCAAGGAGCAAGAGATATCTGATAATCGAAGAGCGTCTTATAGTGAACAAGTGGCATAAGAACTGGACCAAACATGGAGGCAGCTGATGATTCATCACCACTCTTTCTTTGATGTAGAACAGCACATACTGTGAAACAAATACTACAACGAAGAATGTCACCAACCCATAAAGAAGCAAGATGATGGAAGTCTGAGAGTAACCCAGAACAAGAACAAGCCATAGGAAGGCCACGCATCCAGAGAGATCAGGTCAGGATTATACGGAAACTATAAAGCTAAATTGCAGAACGTTTTTCTTTTCATTTTCAATCAATCATGGATTCTTTTAAAATAAAATTTTAACTGATTCTATCGAGCCAACCGTGTAAGCATTTGGATCCGGATAGCAGTTAATGGCGATAGGTAAAAAAAAGAATTGCAGTATTTTCAACGCCGACCAGAACCTTGAGAGTTGAAAATACTGAGAAAGAAAAGCTTCATAACACTGTCTACATGCTAGCTGATAATGCCAGTGTAGGAATCCTGTCAGACTAAATACCTTTCTAAAATAACGACTGTCCACATGGCAGCTGATAATGCCAGTTGTAGGGGATAAAAACAGAAATCGCTATATGAGTTTTCAGACAGCAAATTGCAGCAAGTTAGATATTGCATGTATAACAAATTAACAATGGATGTTGCCTATGAATGTTCTTCGTTGGAACTCATCGTTGAAGTATTCTGGCTCTTCCGTCCTTGCAGATTTCAGCTACAAGGCTCGATTATAACTTCTCAGGGGAATCTCCGGTCGATGGACAAGTCGTAATTCATCTTCATCAGCTTCCACAATCCACAAAGACACCTGCCTGGTTGCAGCACCTACAAGTCTGCATCAACCATGGAAGGATCATGATGAACTAGTTGCTTGATCAAGTCAAGTCGTATGAATTATGTTCAAAACATTTTTCCCTTTCATTTCTTCAATCACGTTAGCACTTACAACTTACAAGTTCTGTATCAATCATGTCAGTATAACGTGACAATGGAGTCCTGAACAAAAAGGTAGTCACACAGAAGCCATCGTGACCCGCAACTAAGACAGCAAGAATACATAGAAAAGACTGGAAATAACCAAATTATCCAGATTCGCAAAAATGAGACTTTCCATGACAAAGGACACACCAGAACTGTGAACACTGAACCACAGGCAATATAATGTTCAACTTTCTCAGTGCGAGGACGATGTCTTACCAGCAAGCCAAACCTAAACTCCTGCATTGTTAATATCCCCTCACCCCTCGCTTCGACTTGATATAATAATCTCTCATCCATCTCGCACGCTTCCCAAGAAGCAAACCCGTCTTCTCCTCTTGCTCTTTGGCAAGCTTCCTCTTCTTCTCCGCTCTCCTGGCGAACCGCTTCCTCCAATTCTTCTCCACAAAAGAACTCGACCCTGCTTCCGCCACCACGACGACCTTGCCGAACACCTCGCAGTATTTGGCCTCCCACAGCTGATTGCTGGAGGCGGACAGGCTCCGGAGGCCAGCGCACACGCATTCCATCCTCGCCAGGGCCTCCGCCGGCAGCAGCGCCATGATCCCGAGCTTGAGCTCGTCCGGGAGGGTGGAGAAGCAGTTGGGCACAGGCAGCCCTGCCTCCTCCGTGATGTCGATCAGCAATGGGAAACAGAGCCCGTCCTTGATCGTTCTGCGAAACTCCGTAACGTCTCCACTGGTGATAACCGACGCGAATGCTCCGGCCTTGTTGAAGATCAGCTTGCGCAGAGGCGAACCGTTTTCCCGGGCCAAAGAGCCGCAAATCACCAGGAAGTTACCCAATGGCTGGAATTTTACTTGTACCGACGGCGGCACTTTGTTCTTCGTCTGGTCATTCAGGGCAGGAAGGGTGTAAGAGACCGAGAGTGTGGAATTCCGGCAGTCGAGGAAATTTTTTTGATCGACAGTATGGTAACCGACGAAACCGAATTCCAAGAACACGGAGTCGATCTCAGTGACCAAGAGCTGGATCGCCTTGCTTTTCAGAGACCTCAGCCAAAGATCCATGGTGAAGAGTTCGCTAAACCTAGAATTTTCCCCCCTTTCCCAGACCTAGCCCAAAAACTGATGATTGGAGAAATCCGGAGAGTCGGGGACCGTTCCTTCTTTTTATAGAGGGGGAGAGAAGGTAATGTATTAACACGATCGGAATCGGATCCTTGAATTTTTTTTTTTTTGCCGGGATTACGGCCAAAGAATATAAAGGATTTATTTCCCAAAATGCGAAACTTACTATAAACAATAATCCCAAAATATCAAGGTTGTCAACCCGCGGGTCGACCAAGGTTCGGTTGATTTAGTGGGTCAAAAGTTAATAAGTTACCCAATTTAGCTCGGAAATATGAAAAGAGTAATTATATTATACTTTTCTTGAATCTAACATAGAAAAAATACAACAATACTTAAACTCCAACACACTTAAAAACATCAACTTAAATTCAATATTGTAAAAATTCAACGACACTTCATAACATGAGCCCGCTGACCAGCTTGGATGAGCCAACAGCCCGGGTTTTTCCGGGTTTGATGGGGTTTTCCCGGGTTTAACCATTTTCGGGCTAACTCACAAATGGGTTATTCTAGCCCGTTTTCAAGAGCGGGTCTGGGTAACCCGCGGGTTGACAACCTTGCAAAATACACAAATTTGAGATAGTTGTAATGTTCAGTGATTTGATTATGATTTGTTGGAGATTAAAGTAATTTCACCCATATTACGGTCATTTAAAGTGTGATTTAGGTGAATTATCGGGAGTGATTATGGTGATTACTATAAATTACATTCGAGATATTATTAATATCTCAAAATTAGTAATCACCATGGTTACTGAGAGAAAATTGGGTATGGGAAAAAATATTTATTAATTTCTTTTTTTAATAAATTGCATTCGAGATAGTTACAAAAATATATTAATTGCAATTTTCTCTCTCTCTTTCTCTCACTTCCGCAATCTCCAGCCAGATCTCGCCTTCATTTTTTCTCTCAATCTTTTCCTTATATTCGTTGAGTCAAAATAATACCACTGCAAAAATAAAATAAGACATCAATACTAATCCGTTAGACAACCAGTACCACTTCAAAACACACAAATACCATTGCAGAAATAAATCAATACCATTATGAAAAACAATACCAATATAAAAATAAATATATATCATTACACTGAAACTACCAATATAGACAAATACAATCTATACAATTACAATAGTCAAACCAATACCAAAATCAACCAATACAACTACCACTGTGAAATCAAAACAATACCATTGCATAAACAAATCAATACCAATATGAAATACAAAACTATATCACTTCATAAAAGGCTAAATTACACGTTTGGTCACTCAAATTACATACATGTTTCTTGTTTGCCACCCGAATCACTTTTCTTTCTTATTCGCCGCTAACTTTATGAATCGTTTCACCATTAGTCACCGACCGTTAGTCTCTGTTAAACTCCGTTAACTCTGTCAGTTTTTTTATGACGTGGCAAACGGACAGCTGACTGGACTATTAATTTAATGACATGTCAATTTAAAAATAATAATAAAATAAAACCAAAAAAAGGAGTGGCTCCACCTACCCATCGTCTTCTACTCCTTCCCTGACCCCAACCTTGAACTGGAAAATACAAACCCTCATATTGAGAAGAATGGTAATAAAGCACAACACATAAAACAATTAATAGAAGCAGAAGAAGCCAAAATTCATTATAATCAAAATCCTCAAACACGAACCCTAAGAACCTAGAACATACAAGATGAATCGTCAATGAACCTAAAAGCTGTCAAGACACAAACTCCCCCCCCCCCCCCCCCCCGATGGATTTATGAAGTCGCATCCTGATCTCCTCGGCGTCGACCTTATTCTTCGTTGCACCTATATCCACTACTCCGACGCAGACTCTGTTACCCTCACCGTCGCCGAGACCTCTGATAGACCGTCATTTACACATGTTTTTACCCCCGTTCTTACACCGTTTGAGGTGGATTCTCGTATTTTAGGCCGATTTCACGCTAGGTTGTGCTTCTTTATGATATTTCAGGTCCCAGTACGTGAATGAAGGCTTAGGAGCGAGTCTGGGGTCGATCGGACGAAGAACGGACGAATGGCGAGGTTTTTGGGGAGCTGCACGGGCAGACCAGGGAGGCTGCACGGCCGTGCACGTGAGCAATCTGGCCGTGCGGTTTTGGCCGAGGCCGAGCACGGGCACCCCTGAAGATCTGCACGGCCGTGCACCCTGGCCGTGCAAGATGGCTGAAGGTCGAATTAAATGGTACGCTGCGTTTTGGAGTGCACGGCCAGAATGGTGATATGCACGGCCGTGCACCCTGGCCGTGCGAGTCGGGAAAGCCTGGTTTTAGAGCCTATTCCGAGCCAGAAGTGAGAGAATCGTGTTTGGAGAGCAAAAACAGAGCCCTAGAGAGAGAAAGTGCGAAGAACACACCCTAGAAGCTGTCTTAGAGCCGGATTTCATCGAATCGAGCTTGGAGATCGTCATAGGAGTGGAAATCATCGTCCCGGAGCAGATTATCCTCATCGTTATGAGTATGACTAATCCGATTCTTGTTTTCTCTTCTCTCTCTATGGAGTAGAACCCTTCTCTCACTTGGGTATGAAGAACCCTAGTTCCTTGTGTTAGGAATTTGATTGTAATGACTTGGGATGATATTACTGTTTGATTTTAATCGAATGACGCATGTTTATTGAATTGATTTGAGTCTGATCAGCTTTTCTCAATTTCTGCTGCAACCTGAGATAGATAGAATCTGATTAGGTTGTTAGAGCCTCTTCATTCGATAGTAGGAGATTGGCTATACGAGAGTTAGCCAGTTTACTGCTTTGTACTGGTGTTCTTGGCGCCAGTAGTGGAGTTCTGTGTTCATAGCCTCAGCTTTCTATCCCGGTGAAGACTAGTCGTCTGCCGGGTAGTTAGACTGAGAGGGCTTGGTCAGCTTAAGAGATTCCAAGCTACTGTCGGATCTTCCGCAGTCTAATCAACAGTAAATCAACCCAGGGAATTGCAATTGAACCTAACTAAGGGGCTAGGGGGACTCAATCCCGAGTGACTCTTACCTGCTTTAGAAAACCGAACAGTTTACTGCTTTCTTGTTGCTTTTACTTTTCACAACAATCACTCGAACTAGTTTTCTAGATAATAGAGAATCACGGAGTAAGCAGTAGATCTAGACCCCGGGTTGATAATTAAACTTGCCTGTTACTGCATTCCCGGGCTGCGATTCCACTTGGTCGCAGTTTGGTGTTGTGTTTTGGCGTGTCAAGTTTTTGGCGCCGTTGCCGGGGATCCCTCTAGATTATTGGGGAAACGTGAGAATTTGTTACTCTAGCTTTTATTTACTGCATTTTATTTCTTCCACCTGTGTGCCTTCACGGGTTGCTTCTGCTGATTGTGTGCAGGTAGTGCATGACCCGTAGCCAGTCGGGAGATCTACTACCATTAGACCAGGAGCTTGAACGAACTTGCAGGAACTTCAAGCGGGCTCTAAAGGCGCGACTGGCTGCGGAGGAGGCGCTAACATAGCTGCAGTTAGGAGAAGAAGAAGAAGAAGGAGAGATGGGTGATCCGCAGAACAACGATGTGATCCCCGGGGAGCAGACCATGGGATTCTACTGGACTGCTAGGGCTGCGGACATGAGGTCACCCATTCAACACCCTCAGGTCCCAGCCAACAACTTTGAGGTGAGCACCTCTGTGATCACCATGCTGCGCGGTTCAGTAGTGTTCCGTGGTAAGGAGGGAGAGTGCCCTCGATCACATCTCAGGCGATTCCACGAGCTCATCGATGGAATCAAGATCAATGGGGTACCAGCAGATGCCATCCAGCTGAGGTACTTCCCATTCACTCTGGAGGGGCAGGCCAAGGAGTGGCTAGACACTCGACCTCTGGGCTCCATCACCACGTTCGCCAACCTTGCGGACAAGTTCCTCACCCGCTACCATCCTCCATCCAAGACAGCTGATCTCCAGAAGCAGATTACACATTTTTCGCAGGATGAGGATGAGGCCATTAGGGATGCTTGGGAGAGGTACACCAGCCTCTTTCTCAGGTGTCCCAATCATGGTTTCAATGATGCGTTCAAGGTGGGCACCTTCTATCACGCCCTCTTCCCGGAGGACAAGCAGCTGATCGATTCGGTTTGTGGCGGGAACATGCTGACCAAAACCCCGCCACAGCTGAATCAACTCTTTGAGGAGATGGCGGAGAACGGTTATGACTGGGGCACTGCCAGGAGATCGCGACGAGCACCTGGACGGGGTGTGCATGCTGTGGGCACCCAGTCATCTGATTTGGTGCAGGTGGTATCGAAGCTGGTTTCAGCTATCGATCGTTCTGGTTTGATTGCAGGTACAGGACAGCCGCAGGCGATGCACTGCCAGTGGTGTGAGAGCTCTCATCACACCGTGGAGGACTGTCAGGCGATGAGGGAGTCGTCCACTCCCCAGGAGCAGGTGGATTTCATCGGGAATGCCAGGCGCTTTGACCCCTACAGCAACACCTATAATGAGGGGTGGCGCCAG